AGCTAAACGTACAGAAAATTGACTATCACTAGAATCAAAACAAGAAATGACTATAGAGGTTGTTTGACCTTGTTTTCGCAACATGGTCATATTGGTAGGAAGACTTATTGGAACGCACCTAGTCACGGCGTCCATTGTCTGCATGATCATTTCCAAAGTTGAATCGTAGACGTGGTACATTCCCAAACGTTTCGCCTGCATCGTAGTCGGCATCATCAGTGAGTATCGCCATTCTTAGTACCACACAACAACTCGTCAAAGAGACAAGTGAAGCCGATCATTTGACCAAACTTGTGCTAAACAATTGTGTTATCTCCCCTTCTGCCCTGGGTTATTCGCGTTTCCGGTAGAATCCTATCATGCCTTCACTTAAAATTTGACGAATTGTTGTGTGGTGCTAAGAATGGCGATATTCACTGACGATGCCGACTACGATGCTGGCGAAACGTTTGGGAATGTATCACGTCTACGGTTCAAATTTGGAACTGATCATGCAGACCATGGACTCCGCACTAGGTGCGTTCCAATAAGTCTTCCTACCAATATGACCATGTTGCGAAAACAAGGTCAAACAACCTCTTACAACGAAAGGAGACTGCGACCACACAAAAGGCCACACCATCTTGGTATTCATACCTTTGAAAGAAAGGACTAGTTGCGTCGCCTCCTTTTTGCAGGCAGCTCATCTCCGTCTATCCTTCAGTCTATTAATTAAGCACAAATAGGTTTTACTTATCTTCTTAGCGGTATTCCTTTCATTCGAGATATTTCCTATTTGGTTTATTTCAATGGCTTCTCTAATTTCACGTTTAGCCGCAAACATACAATAATCAACAATACGACGAGTTTGAGACCATTCAATCTCGTGTCCTGTTTATGCTCTGTGCTCAGCAAGCTCTGATTTTTGAACCCAACAGCCATTGCAGGCGCTTTTGTGCTCAGCACCCTCTGTCGAATCGAACGACAAGTCTCTCCAACATAAAAGCGACCACATGAACACATTATTTTGTAGCAACCCAATATGGATAATGGGTCAAATTTCTCTCTAAAAGTGGACATGACTGAGCAAAGTGTTGTATTTTCCCTGAACACAGTTTTTATTCTCCACTTCCTTACTTGTTCACCTCTCCTTTTAAAGATAACGCACGAAAGTAAAGACAAAACCTGAGAAAAGGTCTCCTTATCTCTCCTTTCGTATTCACCGTTCAAAAATCTATATTTTATTAATGAGATGTATTCACCCTATTTCATCTAAGGTGATGAAGGACTGGTAGTAGAATTATCCCACAATGATATGAGTTGAGCTGACGTTAACATTGAATTTTCACATAGCTTTTCTTTCCCAAAAGTTGTTCTCATCCTGGGTGGACTGCAGTTTCGACCTCGCATTGGTCTTATCAACAC